CACAGTGGTTTTTTTTTTTTTTTTTTTTTTTTTTATAGCTAGATTTCTGCTTCTGGCAATAAAATTTGTGCCATGAACCTGGGTCTGCATTATCCAAGACAGTTTTTTTTCAGGTTTGGTAGTACTCTTTGCGTTTCTCTGTATGGCCAGCTCTTCACAGGTGACGACTAGGAGTTTTTAACGTCTAAACCAGAACCAACTGTTAAGGAGCCAAAAGGCCACTGTGATGGAGTACATGACCATCTCTCGCTTGACCCGTTCCTTGTTCTCCTCTTCCAAAAGAAGAAGGCGTCTGTTCAGCTTGATAATCTATGGATCAGGAAAGAAATGAAACATCATTTAAATTATGTGCAAACACAAAGTACACATCCCTGGCACCAAAGTCAAACATTTCCATTGTTTTTCAGGTTATCCTACTGCAAAACAAGGAGGAATCTACTACACAAGCCTTTATAACATCATTTATTCAATATACAGCCATATGTTTGGACCTCAATAGTGGCAGCCTGGTGCTCTCATGCACTCTTTATTGACTGGACTAAAAAGGTTCCCAGCCTAATAGCCCTTTGAAAGTTAAGGAGTCATCTACATTTTTTTTTTTTAAATGATCTTTTCACTTACCAATTCAAGTGTAACCTCGCTTCTAGCAGTTATACAGGACTGGGCTTTCACATAAAGATGCTTACTGTACTGGATGCCTGAAGCTTTTGGAAACAGGTCTTGCACAAAGCTACTTCTTTTGGTATCTCAGGGGTGGGTGCTTCTGACATCATTTATAGATTGGGAGGCAGCTGACATTAGGAGGTGCCCATAGTCGGTCAGAGTGGGCACAGAAAAAGAAGAAGTATCAAGTGCCAGTGCATGTTTGTTTATGTGCGAGCCTGGAATTTGCAATTATTAAAAAAAGGAGAACTATGGGGTTAAGGCTTTTCCCAATAGTTCTCCTTAGGGTAACAGGAGGACACAAACTAGCATCCTCCCGTCACCCTAAGCTCAGTATATGGCGAGCTACAGCTCGCTGTATACTGAGACGCCGCAGTATACCGGGATACTGAGACGCCGTAGCTGAAGCAGATCCCGACAATTATGTCTGGATCCGCCCAGCTGCGTGAGTGACAGCTGGCTCTGCCTATCTAGAGGCAGAGCCAGCTGTAACCAACCCCTCCCCAGTCCGTTCCGCCAGTCAGCACTGGCGGAGCGGAGCGGGGAATCCAGCCCCTCCCCTGTCACGGCAAAGAGCTGTGAGAGGATCGAGAACGTCGGTATGTGTTCGCTCACCACCCGATCTACTGAGCCGACCTGCGACAGTCTCATTGTCACAGGTCGGCTAGAACTATGAGGTGAGTGAAAAGCACTCACCTCATAGTTCTCCTTTAAATGTCCCCCAAAACTGAGTGTGTGTGTACACATTATATAACGAACATGCTCAAATGAGGACTAGCAGCTCCGTTACAAATATTTCTGGTAAGAGCAATCATCAGAAACTTTGCTAAACATTACAAACCAAAGGACGAAGCCACGTGGAAATGAAGCCACTTGGAAAAGGCAGCCAAACTATGGTGGGAAAGTACCTGTCTTCTAAGTGAGGTTGCATCCACTAAAGCCAGATCATCTGGAGTCCCATCCATAGTAGAGTCTAATGATGTAACTGCATACCTACAGGAGCGACAGTATACATGGGTATAAGTGACAGTTTGGAGATTCGACTATGCATGAAAATTATATATATGTGTTCCAGATTAATATGGTATGTCACAAAATGACACCAAGTGCAGTAAAACACAAGTATAACGTACAAAGCTTGCACAAACCTACTTGTGGCAAATTCATTTTATCATGTGGGTAAACAAGCAGTGAAATCCTCATACAAGACAGTTAACATTAAGCATCTGAAAAATGCAATATTACAGAGATATTAAAGGGTCATTCCAACCAAAACTGAAATATTGGGTGATAGATAGCAGGTTGGTGGAATTAACCACCAGCTTCTTGTATATCTCAAATGTCCAGAGAAAGACTCACATTCCTGGGAGAATAGGTCTATTGGGATTTACCATTTATTCTACAAGAACACGGAAGTGTAAGAATTCTCCTGCTGCTATAGGAGTGAGATTCTTTACAGTTGTGAACCCCAGTAGTGAGGATCTCACTGTTGGTGTCACCAAGAGATATCAAGACAGCAACAAGTTATTCAGTCTACCAGAATTTACCCATAATAGAAACATCTGTTTTTGAGAGTGACCCTTCAATACCCCAAGTGGCAAAGCAATATCAAATCATTCATTTTCTTTTAGGATTTGTTTCATGATAATTAAAGTGCAACGTACAAAAGCAGCACCTAAATCACAAATCAGCAAAATTGTCAGTTGCATTCCACATTAAGAAGTATTAAGATTGTTAGTCAAAACACTGGCAGGAATCACACTCCAATTACCTGGTGATATCATGATGGGGAGCAGGAGCAGAGGCAGAAGACCCTCCACGCAAGACTGGCCTGGAGTGTTCAGGAAGGGAAACAAGGACAGAAAAAGGAAGGAGTGAAGGCAAGAAGGGCAGGAAACATGGAGTCACTCAGCGATTATACATATAGGAATCACAAGGGTCCACACCGATATATTAATCATTGTAAGCACTGCATGTTTGGGCAGTAGTGGTATTAGGAGAGAGAAGAGGGTAGACATTCACCTGCGGTTGTCATCCAGCACATCAAGGACCTGCTGATAAGCCCTGCGGGTGGAGGTCTGGATGAGCGACAGAATGCCACGGGCAGAGAAAAGATCTGCTCCATCTGCAGGGAGCGAGGGAGCAGGGCACGGGCGGCCTGTGGGGGCAGGTGGAGTCGGGCTGACCGGAGGAGAGCAGCAAAGAGAAACACAGAAGTCAGACTGTGTGTGACAGCGAGTTGGTCACATGGAATGAAAAGCACAATATGAGCAAAAGAAAAAAAAAAAAATATCGCTATGAGAACAGGCAACGGTCGCAGAGGAGATGGAAGAAGATTAATACAAAAGACTGGATAGATGAGTTTGGACAGGACAGCAAGAAGAGTAAAAGAAACATGATAGAGTTAGAGAGAACAGGGATACAGGTAAAGGTGTGGTTAACATAAGCGGGAGAACAAGGCTCACGACAAAGGAAACAAAACAACTGAAAACATAAATAATATGAGGCAATGAGAGATGCTGGCCAACACTTAATTCATGCACTCAATGAATACTAAAGCTAGCAGTGCCATGCAAAGGATACAACACAAGAGACTGGCAGGCAACAGCAGTAACAATGGTTTGGATCTCCTACGGGATCCAGGCTTTACCTGGCATTCCCTAAACTAAAGTTACAACACATGATATGCTAGGTAAGGAACAGAACTTCTAGGATATTCCTTCATACCAGATAAGTCCTGCTCAGTCCAATACAAAATAAACCTATTTACAGAAACAAACATAGTCCCCAACCTCAAGGTAACATTTAAAAGTGCCTGAGCCTGATGAACAGGAATGACTGGTCTTGTTGTGCACGCTGTCAATGAGTGTTGTCCCAGAGCGCATACCCAATAAGTCAAGCATGTCAGCCCTGGCTGTACGGAGACATCAGGGAACCAGAGGACCACCAGGAAACATATCACTTCCAGCTATACACCAGGCAAATAGCTAAACACACAAGTGAGATACATATACCATCGTATCTGCCAAATGATTTGCAGTTTGGATCTGCCAGTTTTCTACTTCACATACCTTGCCAGGCAGCATAGCAAATAAGGCGATACTACCATTTCCCAATTCTGCCATGCAGATTCCATGGTCACCTCTTGATTTCCAACAAGCTCATTGGACAACGAAAAATGATTTAACTGCCGATTTATATCCCAACAGGCAGGTAGAAGAGACAGCAAACTGCAAGGCAGTGTGGAGTGGCAGGTGTGCAAGTAAAGACTAGCAGAACACGCTTATTCACTGTCCATCTATAGAGGAGCAGCACTGTCATCCTAGGCTACTCCCAAGATTTGGACTACAAACACCTTCCCCTTTCCTCATCTTCATTACACAGGTGGGAAGTGTTCCATACCATAGTTACAAGGACCTTTGTCTCTGGCAAGATCAGGAATTTTTTTATGCTTGCAGAAAATGTACTTAGGTTTTAAAAAGAAAAATTGGATTGCCGACTTGTTATTTAATGCGCATGCTTTGGGGCCGTCATTCATATCTCTCCCTCAATGGTAATTCACTGACCTGGAACAAATATGCGAGTGCTGGGACCTAATACGCACATGTCTTTTGCCAGTGACTCACATAATAGGGTATAGCAATAGGGATGGCAGTCCTGTAATATGCATGTTCAGCAATAGAAGCTCCTATATTTCCATCCTGATTGTCAGTTCAAAGTTATGGGAAACCCAAACAACAATGTCAGCGAGCTGTGCTTAGAGGCCCTGTAAATGTATTTTCTTCCACCTGCAAAGGTCACCTCGCAGTCACTTCAGGACCTATATATTGAAAACACTGCACAAAGTATCATGCAGGACATTAGGCAATTAACCCACGGTGATCACACCTAGCCTGGACCCTTTCCCTTCATCACTTTGGACTAAATATCAATATTAATCATAATAAAAACACTATAACAAGGTGATCTATTCATTGAATATTATTTATAGTAAAATCTAAAAAAAAAAAAACAATGTGTCCCAACTTACTACCGTAAGAAGAAAACTGTACTGCAAGATATATGTGGCCTACCACTTTAAGGTCTGCTTACATGTTCAGAGCAAATCCCAAGGTATTCCAATCAAGTTGTCAGCAGTGACGGCCTCCACATTTATTGATGACATTAACCACCTACCGGTCGGCCGTTGTAGAAATAACGGCCGCCCGGGAGATCTGAGCGGGCGTCATTAGACGTCCGCTCAGCCACGCCCCCTCGCGCGCGGGAAAGTCCTACAATTTAAAAACAGGCAGCGATGCCGGGTAACATACAAACCATCCGTCTCCCTAAAGAGGACCTGTTACATCTTTTGCTATCACATAAGGGGGTTTCTTAGCCCTTTATGTGATAGCATAAAGTTAAGTGACAACAAAAATTAAAGTTTCCCCCCCAAAAAAGTTAAAGTTACACATTAAAAAAAAAAAAATAATTGTAATTCTTTTTTTAAGTCCCCCCCCATACATACACTCATGCAAAGATGCGTCGGGTGCGCATACGTGCGAAAACGACGATTGCGCCCATTACGCCACACGTTACATATCGTCGCGAACGTCGGAATGAGAGCAATAATTCTAGGGATATCAATCACTGATAACACTAAACTGATGAGCGGTAAAAGCTTTTAAAGCATCGCCTATGGTCAATTTTGGGTGTGGTAGTTTTTTGCGTCTTTTTACCCGACGTGACCCCGTCTTTTATATTTTACCAAAAATATGGGTTAAGGCCGTGACACACTGTACGCGAAGCCGTGCAGAGCGAAGAAAAGCTATCCGGCACGGAGCTTTGCGTGCAGTGTGTGAGCTGAGTGCAGTCAGATGATTGACAGCACCTTCAGCCAATCGGCTCGTCCGTAACAACCTGCCAGCTGTCGCATCGCGACGCGCTGGTTTATACACGCGAGTCGATTGGCTGAAGTTGAAATTGTTCATCTTGGCACGCTCAGCTCCGCGAGCTCTCGCAAGCTGAGGTGCCGAGCAGAAAATGACATGACACACTGCTCGCAAAGGCAGCGCGCCCCCGCTCCGCGCTGCTTCGCGTGCAGTGTGTCACGGCCTTAATAATTAGGGATGCACCGATACCACTTCTTTAAGACCGAGTACTGAGACTTTTGATCAAGTACCTGCCGATACCAATTACCGATACTTTTTCTTAAAAGGGACAGGTCACATTTTTTCTAAAGCAATACAAACTAATGCTTTAAGGTCACTTTCTTCATATGATTCATGAGATGACGAGGGAGCATGACGCCGGCTTCCCGGCGCTGCGTCATTACACGGTGCCCGGCTTCCGAATCTGCTAGCTTCCTGACCAATCGGGAAGTCGGCTCCATGCTCTCTCATCACAAGTGACGAGAGAGCATGGAGCCGTTTCCTGGCCAATCAGGAAACCGGGCAGCGTGTAATGATGCGCTGCCCAGCTTCCTGATACAGAAGTACTCGTGCTAGGTATCGGAGCATTTGGGCGAGTACGAGTACTCACCCAAATACTCGGTATCGGCACCGCTACAGATACTAGTATCGGTGCATCCCTAGTAATAATCATTGTTTCCTGACATAATGAGAAAAAACCTTTTTCTTCTCAAAATTTTCCTTTTAATATAGTAACAAATGGTATAAAATTCATTTCAGTACAGCGTGGCATGACAGAATAAATGTCAAAGTACCTCAGCGCTGAATAATGAAAAATGGCCTGGACAGGAAAGGGGTCTAAAACACCTGGTCAGCAAGTGGTTAAAAAGAAGGATTGCAATTTCCCTTACAGCTGATCTTTGTAAACCTTTCTTAAAAGGAGAACTATGGGGGGTTAGGGCTTTTCCCCATAGTTCTCCTTAGGGTAACGGGAGGACACAAACTACGGTCCTCCTGTCACCCTTGGCTCAGTATACCGCAAGCTACTGCGGCAGAGAGCCATGACAGGATCGAGAGGTGAGCGAACGCCGGTATGTGTTCGCTCACCTCCCGATCTACTGAACCGACCTGTGACAAGTCTCATTGTCACAGGTCGGCTAGAACTATGAGGTGAGTGAAAAGCACTCACCTCATAGTTCTCCTTTGAGAGAAATATGGGAGCCGTCCCGGGTGATTTGTGAAAACGGTAACCCTGCTAAAGCTAGAAGACACGCAGGCTGGATGCTCTGATCTCTGTACACCTGAAGTCTCATGAAATTTTAAAGACACAAAGAGAAACCAAATTGAGAACTTTTCAAGCTCTCTATGCCCTCCGAGTCCAAAATGCAGCACTTTTGCTACTTTTTGCACGCCTCTTGGACCAAACAGTCTGTAACTGGAGTAGGAGCTTTGTAAAGGGATAATAGTATTGAGCTCTACTAGTCTCATGTAACAAGTCCCCGGTCTCTCACTGTTTTCTGCAATATGTCTCCAACCAAACCTGTAGCATTTCCTCTAGGATGTCTGCAATCTCTGACAGTCCTCTATAGCATAACATATACTGAGCCCTGTGGTGATGTCAGTGGCCACAGTTGAAGCCACCTATATCTTGTACGTTGATGTCCACTGTTCAAAACAGTCCGGAGATAATCAGTGGTATAATATTGACACAGACAGACAATCTGTGCACCAGGCAGTGGCACGACCTCCCTGTTTGTAATTCTATTACATTTCTACAGTATGAGATTTTAAAAAGACCGCAAGCCAAGGTACCGTATTTGCCGGCGTATAAGATGACTTTTTATACTTAAAAACATCCCCCGAAAATCGGGGGTCGTCTTATACGCCGGGTATACAATCTAACCTGTCAGCCCGCTGGATGTGCGGTAATACTGTATGTACGGTAGCTTCGGCTACATACAGTATACAGCGCTGAGCCAATCACGGCGAGCGATGTACACAACCTCTGCCAATCTGAGCAGGCTTTGTATTCATTAATAGAATACATTGGTCGCCGTGATTGGCTCAGCACGGTATACTGTATGTAGCCGAAGCTACCGTACATACAGTATTACCGCACATCCAGCGGGCTGACAGATTAGTGGGAGGTCAATAGATGAGAAGATACTTTGGGGTGCACAGGACACAACAGGGTGCACTGGGGTCACTAGAGAACACAGTATGCTGTTGAGTGCACAGGAGTCACAGGGTGCATAGGGGTGCCCTGGGGCAACTAGATGACACAGGATGCTGTGGGGTGGTCTAAAATCATGAGGTGCACTGGGGTCATTAGTGCAGTATACTGTATGTAGCCGAAGCTACCGCACATCCAGCAGGCTGACATGTGTATTTAAACATTATTTTGGGCTATACTTGTCTTATACGACGAGTATAGCCCAAAACCTATGTTTTAACTGAAAAATTAGGGGGTCGTCTTATACGCCCAGTCGCCTTATACGCCGGCAAATACTCTTAAAAGAAAAATATTGCTATTCCAGTCACTCTAAATGTGTCATTCTTTTTGTGCTTTAAACTGTATTCTATAGAATAGAATGAACCAGGTATATTAAAGGACAATGACTAACAGGGTTATTCACAAAGGGGTGAAGAGTTTGGAGAAGGCAGGAGAAGTGAACAATCTAGGACAACATAGCTGAGTTGAATTCGAGAATGTTTCCAGTTCAGTTATGTTGTCCCACATTGTTCACTTCTCCTGCCTTCTCCTAACTCTTCACCCTTTTGTGAATAACCCTGTTAATCTCCCAGAATTCACCCTGCCTCCGTTTATTTACAAGTTGAAAGGTTTATACAAAGAAAAAGATTGCCCCTGAAGATATTCTCTTGGGCACATGTATAATGACAGGCTCTGAGATTTTGTTCCATTCAAATGCCTTTTTCTGGACACCTATTCACCCCTAGCATCCAGCAATTCAGAGGAAGTAGTCATATGGTCAGTACAGGATGGCGATATCAAAAGCTGTGGAAAGACAAGGCCAAGGACACTGAAGACCCTTCCAAAGTGACAAAATGATGATACCAAACGGGTCTTTGGTATGTAACATGATTACACAGTTGCTTTAACCCAACAACCTGTGAAATAAAGTCTGGGCATAGCGGTGTTGTTTGTATCCAACATCGTGCAAGCCAGATTTCCCCTCTTCTGTTCCTGCTCCAATTCCAGAAACCCGTTTAGTGAGCTGGTGCCACAACTTTAACACAGGTTGCCCTTACATTCAGTGTGGACAGACTGCTTTTTATCCTTGAATTTTCTAGATTTGTAAATCTTTCATATAGCCCATTGAAATGTCAACATGTAGCTACAGTTCGAGAAAAGAAAAAAAAGAGAAGTAAAATGAAGCTGCAGAAGAAACTAAAAACCAACAATGGACAGTACGTGGCTTTTTATGTTACATGAGGCAAATGATTTCAGGAAGCATGATTTAGATAATGACAGCACAGAGATAAACACCCACAGTGCAATACACACAAGCTGGAGGACTTGCTGTACTTACAGTGAGTCGTTTCTGACCAGCTGCCCATTGTGTCGTAGAGTGTTTTCACTAACTGACCTCTCTCTCTTCTGCCGCCCCATGTGACGTCCCTAGAAATATAACGCAAGCATTGTTAATAATACACAAGCAAATCGCAACCTTTTCATATACCTCCCAAGTTGAGCTAATACTAGCTACCATCTATGCCAACCTTTGAGTGATCTGTGAAACGAGACTGCATAAAATAGTACGGTTGCACCGATACCAGTATCAGTGCTGATACTGGGCCTCAATAACAAAAACTGATACCAGCAATTTAAATTTTCAAATGGAATCGGCTGCCTGAAGTCTTGTGCTTGCTGGGGACCACGCGGCAGTCTTCTTGGGAACCGTGCGGCGCCTGTTTACAGCGCTTCCGCTGGCCCACACATCTCCCCCTGCTGAGACCCTCCACACCCCTCCTGAGGCCCTTCGCACCGTTCCTGAGTCCCTCTACGCGAGACATCTGGCCGGCATCCCAGAGCAGAGCGGCAGCACAGAGTATGTAGCAAATTCATATACTATTATTCTGCATTGCTGTATAATGTATTGCTGGGATTTGTAGTACTCTATAGCTGATGTTATGATCCTGCATTGCTGTATAATGTATTTTTGGGAGTTGTAGTCCTCTATAGCTGGTGGTATTCTGCATTGTTGTATCCCTCTACAGCTTGGAGTCAGTGGCAGAACTACCAGGGTCACAGCGGTAGCAGTTGCAACCAGGCCCTAGAACTCCACTACTGTCCTAAAATCATTAGACGATATTGTTTTAGAAAAACTGTCACATAACAGTAAAAAAAAAGAAATGAAAAAAAAAAAGGTATCGGTAATTGGTATCGGCGAGCACTTGAGGAAAAAGTATCTCCCCCTGCAGAACCCCCCCCCCCACCCAAGACATCAGGCCGGCACCCTGGAGCAGAGCTGCAGCACAGAGTATGTATCAAATTCATAGATTATTCTGCAAAACTGTATAATGTATACCCGGGATTCCTCTATAGCTAATGGTATTATTCTGCATTGCTGGATTTGTAGTCCTCTATAGCTGGTGCCATTCTGCATTGCTGTATAATGTATTTCTGAGATTTGTACTCCCCCATAGCCAGTGCCATTCTGCATTGCTATATCACTTTTGAATGTTGAAATCCCTTTACAGTCTTGTCGAGCATACGCTAGCAGGTTTACCAAGTTGGAACTGACAGACTAATCTGTCTAGAGCTGCAGCTAACGATTATTTTCAAAATCGATTAGTTAGCCGATTATTACGTTCGATTAATCGGTTAAATCGGATAAACAATAAAATAATTTTTTTTTTAAATGGCTCCAGTGATGGACTACTAGTTTGTATTGAGATTGTAGTCCATCACAGGAGCAAGCTTGGAGCGGTGGAAGTAAAAAAAATAGTGTGGTGTGCAATATAGTGAAAAGGAAAGTGTAAAATTATACAGCAATGAATGCAGAATGGCACCGGCTATAGAGGACTACAAAGCCCAGCAATAGTACATTATACAGAGCAATGCAGAATATCACCAGCTATATAGGAATACAACAAATCCCAGCAATAGTACATTATAGCTGGCGGTATTCTGCATTGCGCTGTATAATGTACTGTTGCTGGGTTTTGTAGTCCTCTATAGCTGGTGGTATTCGGCATTGCACCACTGTATAATGTATTATTGCTGGGCTTTGTAGTCCTCTATAGTTGGTGCCATTCTGCATTCATTGCTGTATAATTTGACACTTTCCTTTTCACTATATTGCACACCACACTATCTTTTTTACTTCCATCGCTCCAAGCTTGCTCCTGTGATGGACTACAATCTCAACCTCTATATCTGGTGGTATTCCGCATTGTGCTGTATAATGTATTATTGCTGGGATTTGTAGTCCTCTGTACAGCGCAGTGCAGAATATCACCAGCTATTTAGGAATACAACAAATCCCAGCAATACATTATACATGCAGTGTACAATGTATTGCTGGGATTTGTATTCCTTTGTATAATATAGAGCACAATGTACCATCAGCTATAGAGGAGTACAAATCCCAGCAATACATTATAGAGCACCATGTGTGGGAAAGTGCAGGCTTACCTGAGCAGTCTCCCAGCAACTTGCTTCTGAGATCGGGCCTGCCTATCGGCGGCTGTCATCCCCCCACACCTGCTCCTCCTTACTACATCTCCCCGCGTGCCTGTGCCGATCGTGGATGTGGGCGGTGGTGAGTGTGAGGCGGGAAGGAGGTGCGGCGTGGATGCGGGCGGGTCTGCGAGCGTGAGGTGGGGAGGAGGTGTGGCGTGCAGTATGTGTGGAGCCGTGAACAGGGCCAACTGATCGGAAGCCGATTAATCGATTGAAAAAGTTGACAACTTTTTCAATAATCGATTATAATCGATTATGTCGATTAGTTGTTGCAGCCCTAAATCTGTCATAAAGCGGGCCACTATATTCAGAGTATTGCTTTGATGGAAAATAAATATGCAGTACTCAAAACAAGGCTGGGAGAATCCTTCAAGCTGTGACTTGCCACTTTTTGCAAATCATTATCAATCTATTAAAATAACCACAATCCCAAAAATGCAGTAAATAAATGTTTTTCTCTTAGTTTAAATGGTGACCAGCAAACATTGCAGGAGTTGCACTACACACCTTTAATTAAAATGTTTAAAAGGCTGCAATCACAAAAAATATTTTGATAAGTGTATTTGGTTAATGACACTTGCCTCTTCATTCTGGGGAGTGGTCGCAGTGGGTCTCTCCAAGTCCAAGAAGTCCAACGGTCTCTCACTGAGGGTCAGGACCCGCGGTGGAGTCTTCAGAGACAAGGGCTCAAATGGGGTGGTCTGAATAAGATCCAGATCAGCAGGCCTTGAAAAAGACCCATCTTCACTTTGACCTGTAGAATAATTGAACCACAGACAACATCATTGTACATAGTTATTTGGTCATTGAAGTAAAACTAAATTAAAGCTGCTTCTATTTTGCCTTCCTTGGTTACTCCATTACCCCCACCTCCCATCAATATGCTATACCTTATTTTAGACCCAGTGATGTCATCAGACACCACCCTCGCATCTAAAGTTTGCAGGCACTACAGCCTAGGAGCAGCTGACAGGCTGCTCTAAACATTGCATACAGGTGTGTGACCTCCTCTCATGTGACATAACTTGGGCCTAAAGTTTAGGTTATGTTAGGTAAGTGAGCTGTGGAAAATAATACAAGGTGTGACTTATTTAAACGTTTTCTATTAAAGAGTCATTTAATAGAATATAAAGGATTCTCACCTGTTACCACAATTCTCTCTGGCACTTGCATATTGGCACCAGGGTAAGAAATGGCACCATCTGCTTTGGGGTCTGATTCTGCATTGCTTGTAGCAACCTTCAGCTTCTCCGGGACCCTCATTCTCTGACTGATACCCTCTGTATACTCCATCTCATACTGGATACGGTTTATCTCAGCCATCTCTGCTGCCGGTGGTGAGAAGCCCGCGTTGTTCATCCTAAAAGGTGGAGGAATACACAACATACTTCTCAGCAAAAGAAATGACATCTCAGAAATGTATTTTCTGCAGCATTTATGGAGGCGAGTGTAATCTCTTGCGTCATTTGCTTCAAAATGATTCAGAGAAATCTCTGCTCTCCCCCGGAGCTTATGGCTATCTGACAGAAGTGTACAGAGCCCGACAACTGGAGCAGAGGACGGACACCACAGGGTTACTGACAGCGGCTGAACTATGGGGTGGACAGAGATTTATCTGCAGAGTATCCAGCAAAGGATTCATAAGAGGAATATGAAACATACAGATTACAGATACTTACCTCCCCAAAAGGCGGCTAGTCTGCGGAGCTCTCCTTAAACTGGACCTTTACCCCCTTTGACTAAAAATCACATTAGCATTCATCTGTGCATGGGGATATGAAATCTTTACAATTTCTTCCCCCCCGCTTCCTGGTCCTCTTGGGCATTAGTAAAGTAATTGTGCCCAAGCATTGCATTCTTGGAAGGTTACATCAGCAGACCATTGCTGGGAAATCTCACAAGATCTCAGGGAAAGGCATTTTCCTCCCCTTAAATGATGTGCATAGTCACATGTCCTAGTCACATGTGCCAGAGTTCCAGGAAGTAAAGGGAGATGGATTAATCTGCCCTTAGTTAAAATGGCCACTGTGAGAAGAATGGGGAGGAAAAGAGAAGGTATGAAAAAATAAAAATCCTGCAATGATCTAGAAGGATCTGTTTGTAGATTGTCATTACTAAACATTTCTAAAGGTGCGTTTGTTGTGATTTTGAAGATATGGGTAAAGTTCCTCTTTAAAAAGCCGATGACCTCTAATTCAGGGCTGCACAAATCCCAGGAGCCAGGTCGCCAATGCTCCTTACAAATTATAATTGGCGCCTAACTTTTAAGGGTTTTCTCTAGTTGCCGTCAATGGAGCTGGCTCCTAAAAAAATCCTGTTGGCTCCCAGATTGGAAAGCTTGGCTCTTGAATTCCATATTATGTTGGAAGTTCAGTTGAGAGCTGGAATAAGCACACTGGCAACCTTGAGCCCCCGTTCACATCTGAGCGTAGCATTAATCACTCGATTACGTGTGTTTAATGCACGCTATCACACAATTAATGTATCGTGCACTAGGTGCCTTATGTTGCAATTCATTTGAATGACACACCAACGCACCTCCCGGTCTCTGTGTGCTGTGCTGGAAAAAAAGTAGTGCATGACCTGCAGCACACAGCAGTGGGAATGCGCATTGAGGCGCCATTGGAATGGAAATCCAACGCAGCTAAAAATTGTGTTCCCAGTTTACACCACATAGAGGTGGGATGTGTGGTGAGCTGCGGCTAAATGCAGACATACTCCATTTTTCTGCAGCGCACTGTATGGCACCACACCGCTCTGCTGCGCACAGACTTGAAGGGAGTGTACAATTGGTATATTCCAAATAAAGTTCAGAAAAAAAAAAGAAGTGTTTTGCATTGTAACAACACAAGGCTCACCGATGTCACCCGTTGGTCACTAGGCGCATGGCGAAATACAGCGTTTTACCTTGCGCCTACTGCGAACATAGCCTCGGGTCCGTACTGCTGTCCCAATGAAGAAATTCCCCCCTTATGCATAATGGTGACTGGATATGCTATCTTCCAATGGGGACATCTGTTCAACAGGTAACTTCCCCTCACTTTGGAGAGACTTCCTCCCACTTCCTGTTGTGTCTCTGTAAAAAAAAGTTTTGGGCTATACATACTTTAAAAGGAAAAGAAGGTTCACAAAAATGGCTGCTGTCCCCCAAAATGTATCTACCAACAGGTCAAGCAGAACATGTAGGCAGCAAGGAAGAGGTCTCGTGGTCAGAAGATCAATTCAAAAATGCCTGAAGGACACAGAGGACAGACCTCCGTGTGCAGGCTGACAGGACGAATCCAGCATCTCCATCCATGACACCCCCTCCAGGGTCAGGTCACCAGGGTGACGGCTTCTATGGACATCCGTGGAAGGGGGGGCAGGGTAGTGCAAACACCTCCCTATACACAGCAATGGCCAGCCTCACACCTACATCCAGCACCCATCACACCCCCACAGAGCGCCCCTATAATCGAACAATACTCACAGGTTAGCACCGAAAAGCTCCGCTGCCTGCCGGAGATGACCCTGCTCAGCCGCCTTATCCCGGAAGTCAGCCTCTCTCCGTCACATGACGGCAGCGGAACAGGAGGACGTTTCAGGAGCGTCGGCAGACCAGTGACGTCACGGAGCTGTCAGTGGCGGGGTCACGTATTACAGCCCTATAGAGGGAGCTGTGTGAGGTCACACGCAGCGTTACGCTCCAGAGCGAGGAGAGCGGCTGTAACAGTGGTGAAGAGCTGTCAATGGCTATTGTTTGTGGGAAGTTCCTACTGCTGTCCACTGGGTGGCGCTGCAGGCTCACACATCGCTTTACATACTGGTTGTATTTATTTTATTAAAGTAGATATAAATCCTTACCGAACGATATTTTGTTTGCTAAAGCACAGTGTGTAATAAACAATGAAAAATACCTAAAATAAAATACTGTTTTCACCTTTTTTTATTCATCTTTTGTCGCATTTCAGTGCTGCTGACCTACAGCTTCCTTGCAGCCATTTCCTGTCTGTATGCATGAACTCCAGAGATGGCTGCATTGCATTTCTGAAGCAGGGCTTCCTGATGGTGACAGAAGTAATTAAAATTATTCCTTGCAGTCCCCATCAGAATCACACATGACAGGATGACAACTAGGGATGCACCGATACTAGTATCAATGCCGATGCCGAGTATTTGGGCGAGTACGATGCCTAGCCCGATACTTCCGGTATCAGGAAGCTGGGCAGCACGTAATTTTACGCTCCCCGGCGTCCTGATTGGCTGGGAAGCCGGCTCCATGCTTCCTCGTCACTTGTGACGAGAGAGCATGGAGCTGGCTTCCCGGCCAATCAGGAAGCCAGGCGTTGCGTTAGTACATGGCGCCCAGCTTTCTGCTTGACCAGAAAGCCGGCTTCCCGGCTAATCAGGAAGCCAGGTGGCGAGTCATTACATGCCACCTGGCTTCCTTAATGGGACTTTCGGTTTCGGCGAGTAACGGAAAAAAAATATCCGTACTCGATACCGAAATACCGGTATCGGTGCATCCCCAGTGACAACGCAGGAGCAATTTTGGGAGACAAAGACAGGGTGCTGTCACCCCATAATGGAGAGTACCCAAACAAAGGTCTCTATGGCAGCAAATTTAAATATACAGAAAATGACTTTTGAAATGACATTAAATTATGTATGAGTTTAATGATGGGGCTTACACTAGAGCTAGGGCTAAAAACACACTTATGTTTATTACTATTTGATACGTCAGGTACATCTGAGATCAGAACACTTTCTATTTACTATCGAAGTCAGCACATGCAGCTTTCGGCTATTTCTTTACCAAGCGGATTTTGCTGCTGTCATCTGAATATTCGCTGCAGTAAATAGCAGCAAATGGGTTTACCAATGCTGCTGAATAGTGCAGAGAAGGAACGCTTCCTTTTCTTTTTGTATTCTTACCTGTCTACATTTCCTTTATGCTAGACCTGTCAAAAAAAAAAATATGAGCAGCTTTAGAAAGCCCAGCATGCGCTTCAAAATCAGATTTATGACTGCACGCTGCGTGTAATGATACAAGTAAAATAAGATAAAAACAGTGATCTCCTTTATTGTCCAGGAAAAGAAAACTCCCTTTGTAGTGGGACTACCCTGGCTTTGCAAGGGTTAACTGCTCGGTTATGTTAAGGGGGGGGTCTTTGTAAAGGACTTTTATTATCTGATCCTCTCTCCTGCTGGCCCCAAGACAGGCACCCACAGCCTCTTCCCCGCTCTGAGCACCGGCGGTCGGAGGCCCTTTAACATCATCCTATATAATGCAGAGTCCATAGCCCTGTATTATACATGAAGACACAGAAGGACAGTCCCCAAACCGGAGCGTAGGGGGGAGAGGGGTTCAGGTAAACCAATGTCCCTTACACCATACCCCCAGACAAAAATAAGCAGGTAACCCGTGCAGTGCCGGACAGCCCCACTGCAAGGGGAGTTTTTTCCTATCCCCAGAGGTAGGGTTCAGGTCATTACTTCCCTTAGGTCCCTTCTCCAGGCTTGTGTGTGACGGGATCTAACGGATCTCCAAAGCTCGCAGCTTCTCCTTATTGTTCAATGTCTGCATCAGTAAAAGATTGGATTGGAGGGGGCCACAACCAGGGGTCATCAGTGGGACACCAGGTAGGACGTCAGAGCTCTTAGAACCCTGGAACGCCTTGGCCGGAAGGGGGGCACAGGCACACCTGCCCCCCATGTGACCCAAAGAGATGCCACCTGAGGCAACCACCTCATTATACCTCATTATAGGGATGGACCTGGGCACAACTGCTGCTGATTTCCAATATTAGCTTCAGGTTTTAGGGTTGTACCCAGTGGCTGAACTATCGCCATAGTGACCCTGGCAGCCACCATGGGGCCTGGGGCCAGGACGAGGAACAAAGTGATCCCTTTGATGCCACCTGGGTCGCTATGGCATCGCAGGCTGCTGGCTCTCACTGGCGGCTGTGAGGTGAAACGTGTCAGTGACAGCCAACCTCTGCAGTGGAGGAGGCCGGGGTCAGCAGTGGAGGAGGAGGTGGGGCCCAGCAGAGGAAGAAGAGCCCGGCAGAGGAGGAGGCCAGGCCCGGCGACCGTGGAGGAAGCTGGCTGCGGATCGGGGTTGACAGGTAAGAGGTGTGCAGGTGTGTGACCAGCCCACCTAAGACCCAGCCGAGCCCACCATATAGTCTATGGTGGGCTCTGCAGGGTCACTCTCAGGTGGGCTGTGTGGGATCTCAGGTGGGCTCTGTAAGGGGCGTAACTAGAAATCACAGGACCCCATACAAAATGTTGCTATTGGGCCCTGTGATTTTTAGTTACAGCCCTGATTATATCCGTTCTTTGAATTTTTATGAGCTATACGATAAAATGCGGTCATGTCATATTTCATTTCTGTGATGTTCTCTTCCCTCTGCTTCTTATAGATTTTAGGAGCGGCACCTAAGACACAAAGAAAACTACAACGGCTTCCTCTTGAAAGAGAACTGCAATCAACGAGCTCACATCAAGTAAAATCCCCCTACAACCATTTATAATTGAAGTCAGATGTGCCAACTCATACCCACCAAGGGGCTTGGAAGAACTCCGGGTAACATTTTTCTTAACCCCTGTAGTGGGGCCACCCCTGCACTGCAAGGGTTAACTGCAGAAGAACTCTTAGGTAGCCCCCCCGAAATTGAGATATATACCTCACAGAAATTGTAATATTCATGGTAAAACTGGATATTTGGTCAAGTAAGATCCCTTTAACATGGCGGTCTTCAGTCCCATGCACGGATCCCCTGCTGATTGGAGCAGTTCGGAATGGATGTCACATGCGTGTCCATCCGGGTTTCTCTATCTCGCGATGGAGGGGGGAAAAAAGGTGAAATGACCAGACCCCATGTTGGTCTTTGGGCAGTCAGAAGTAAACAGTTTACATCAGATTACCCCCAATTGGCCACAATCAAGTCCGTCAAAACGGAACACACATCCATGTAGATCTGGCTTCCCATAGGCTAACATCGGGCTTCCAATCAGATGCACCTGAAAAACTGACAGGCGGACCTGATCGGAATGGCCGTGTGAAAGTGGCCTAAGGGCCGGTTCACACCACAAACTCCGCGTTCCAGAGCGTTAGGCCTCTGGAATGCAAGCCGGCCGGCTGCCTGTGTTCAGGAGCGGGAGGGGGCATGGCGGTGCATTGAAGTAAATGGCACCGCAGCCACGCCCCCCACCCGGAGTGTGATCGCCCGCACCCGTAACACATTAGTGCCTGTGTTGCGGGTCCAGTGCGTTCTGATAAAAATAGTGCTTGCAGTATTTTTACAGAAAGCACTGAACCAGAAGACAGACACTAATGTGCTTGTGTTGCGGTTGCGGGCGATCACACTGATCTCCAGCCTTACCTTTTTTCCCTCACTTGTAACAAGTCCTCTCCTGTGTTGGAACTGATTACTCATCATTCTCTGCACCCTTGTATCTCCACACTATTATTTTTAGAAGCTGCAGCAGCTATCTCGAGCCCACCTCATTTCCAGTCTGAACGACAGCAGCCATCATCAATCACATCTCCACCTGATTCATATTGTTGATGACCCGCCTCTCACAGCTATTAGCCTCATCTGCCATCAATTATTTTTGGTCTTGGTCATGTGTGGGCATGATCATTAGGGCTGATGTCAGTCACTGTACTGCTCTTCCTAAAGGTGCCCATACACTGTGCGATTATCGCGGGAAATCCCGCAATCGTACGATAATCGCAAAGTGTATGAAAGGCGTGCGACCGTTTTTACTGTACGGTCGCACGTCTTTTGTCTAAGGAGCATGTTCGAAAACCAGCCGAAAATCTTACGATTTTCGTCTGGTTTGTGGTATGCTCGGGAGACAAATGCCGAACGGGCTGTTGTGCGCACGCGCACACTACCCGTTCAGCATTGCGGTCATCGGAAGCCCGCCCCTCAGCGGGGCGGGCTTGCGATGATCGCAAGTACGATCTGCCTGTCCAAGATGGGCAGATCGTACGTTTTTTAAATTACTTTACAACCATCGCAAGACTAAGGTCTTGCGATGGTTGTAAAGTGTATGGCCACCTTAAAGGAGAACTATGAGATGAGTTATTTCCACAATTCCACAATGAGACTGTCACAGGTCGGCTCAGTAGATCGGGAGGTGAGCGAACAGATACCGGCTCCCCCCTCCCCGCTCCGATCCACCAGCGCTGACTGGTGGAATGGACAGGGGAGGGGGCGGGTACAGCTGGCTCTGCCTCTGCCGCTCCGGCTGCGGCGTCTCAGTATACCACGAGCTGTAGCTCGCGGTATAGTGAGCTTAGGGTAATGGGAGGATGCTAGTTTGTGTCCTCCCGTTACCCTAAGGAGAACTATGGGGAAAAGCCCTGACCCCATAGTTCTCCTTTAAGGATTATATGAAGGAACAGACTTTAGCTGTGCAAACTGCTTATTAGTTGCTTGCTTACACTCTACTAGACTGTAATCAAACAACTGATTAGCAGATTGCACAACTTAAGTCTGCAGCACCAAGTGGCCAGCAGGGATGCATGTCTAAAGGGAACCAATGATGTGTTCTTTTGCAGGGT